GGACGGCGCGACCCCCCCCGGGGAGCGGCCGGTCCCGCGTCCTGCGGGGGCAAGGGGAGACCCCCGGCACCGGGCGGACCGGAGGGGCAGGGGGGTGACCCCCGGAGACGGCGAGGGACCCCGCGGGAGCGATGGGAACCCCACGGGGGTGACGTGGTCCCCCGCGTCCGGCGGGGCGGGGTCGGCACATCCCCCCAAGTCCCTCCCACCGCCCCACATCCCCTCCCGCCGCCCCACATCCCCTCCCACCGCCCGCCCCGCCGGGGCGGCCCCCGCCGCTAAAACTCACCGGTCGCACCCGGGACGGGACCGGAGCCGCCGCCGCTCGCACCGGACCGGAGCCCGCCGGTGAGTGCCCCGAGGGGGGTCTGCAGCCCTGTCCCACCCCCTGCCCCCCCTCGGGAGAGCCCCGGGGGGCGGGTTGTGCCCCCCTCGCCTCGTGTCGCCCGCGGGACTTTGCGTGGGCACGGCCGGGCCCCTGGACCCGCTGGTGGCCCCGTCCCGCCGGTGCTGGCCCGGAGGCAGCCCCTCGCCCGTCCCCTCGCCGCCGGTTGAGCCGGTATCTCCAGCCCCTGGGAGCCGGGCTCGCTGCCCGGAGCGTGGTCGCCCAGGTTCGGGGTGGTCCAGGGCCCCTGGTCCCCCCTGGAGTAACCAACCTCCCCTGAAGGCAGAGGAAGGAGCCGGGTCAGGATCAAGACCCTTGCCTGCTTAGGACCAGCTCTTACTGGGAGGGGCTATGGGGCTGGAGGGGCTGTGGGGCTGGAGGGGCTGGGGAGGGATGGCCCAGCTGCCCAAGGAGCTGGGTGTGCTCCGAGCTCTGCTGGGCAGGGGGTGAAGGGCGATGCCAGTCCCAAACTCTCTGGATGGAGCAAGGGCTGCTGCAGAAAGGTGGTCCCCAGCCGGGCTCTGCCCCGTCCCCAGCCGGGCTCTGCTCCCCGGAGGCTCTTGCTGGGGCTCTCTGCCTGCTGCGTGCCCCCAACCCGTCCCCCCGCTGACTTCTTGCCCCCCAGCCATGGCTGAGGAGCTCAGTGACCTGCTGCGGGAGTTCGATGAGGTGATGGAGGACTTCGACAGAGGCCCCGCGTCTCAATACGAGCAGCACCTGGAGGAGCTGAAGAGGAAAGCGGGACACAGCGTGTACGACAGCGGCATCGATGAGCTGGAGAGTGAGTCCGGGGCTGGGGAGGATGGTGTCCGTCGGGATGGAGTTGCTCTGGGAGCTCTGGGGTTCCTCTGTGGCAAACCACGGAGCTTCCTGCTGGTCCCACCACTGAGTGTCTGCCTGACTCATCTCTCACGGGCTGGATGTGGAGCGTGGGGTGGTGACCGCTGGGTCCCAGCCCAGGGCCTGCCAACGTCTGCTGGGTTGATGCTGCAGGACCACACGAGGCTTGAGATAACTGGGACTTGAGAGGGAAACCAGTTTGCTGTAATGACCCTGAGGAGCCCCTGTGGCCGTACCCAGGCAGCCTCTGGTGTTCTTTGGCTTCACAGAGAAGCTCAGTTCCCTTTTTCCAAGCATTCCTTGGAAAAAGGGCTGGCCAAGAGTGAGGTGGACAAGGGACCCTATGCCACACATGAAAATGGGCAACAAAGCTCTCCAGAGAGGGTCACAGAGCTGGTGAGGGGTCTGGAGCACAAGTTTTGTGAGAAGTGGCTGAGGGAGCTGGGGGGATTCAGCCTGGAGAAAAGGGGGCTGAGGGGAGACCTTCTCACTCTCTCCAACTCCCTGAAAGGAGGGTGTAGCCAGGGGGGGTAGGTCTCTTCTCCCAAGGAACAGGCCATGGGACAAGAGGAAATGGCCTCAAGTTGCCAGGGGAGGTTTAGGATGGAAATTATTAAAAATTTCTTCCCTGAAAGGGCTATCAAGCCTTGGCAGAGGCTGCCCAGTGGTGGAGTCACCATTCCTGGGAAGACATGGTGCTGAGGGCCATGGGTCAGTGGTGTTGGGTTAACGCTTGGACTTGATGATCTGAAAGGTCTCTTCCAACCAAAACAGTTCTATGAGACCGGTCCCTGGTCCTGCAGCTCGTTTGTAAGGTGCCTGTGGCCGTGGACCGTGACTGATGCTTTGCATCTGCAGGTACCAGCACATCCCCAGGAAGCAGCCTCAACTCCAGCGAGGAGGACCTCAACACCCCTGCTGATGGCTACCCCTCCAAAGGTGAGGATGAAAGAGCTGCCCCAAGGGCTGATGCCAGGGCAGAAGGTCCAGCAGTGGGGGGTGGTGGGCAATGGGGCCCTGCAGGGTTTGGAGGTGGGAATGAGCCTTGAGGTCCTGGAATAGGTCTGAAGTTGGGTTGGCACATTCCCAGTCAAGGCTACACTGGGCCAGGGGTCTCTTTGGGGGGGTCACAGAGAGGGGCTGGCCAGGTTATGGGGTGCAGATCGGTGTGATACCTGTGGGCACCACCCCTCTCCCCCCGGCCCCAGAGTCTAGGTCCCAGATCAGGGAAAAAGGGGTGGAAATGCTGTGTGTCTGCAGGTCAGAGGCAGTCCTGGGGTTTTCCTTCCTCAAGCAGTGTCCTCGGTGAAACCCCTTTGTTCCCCAGCCCCGTGCCCCCCAGCACAGACGGGGGGAGCGCCCGTGGGGACGGGTGATGCTGGAGCGAGCGTGGGGCTCCAGAACCAGGGCAAGGTCTGGTGCTGCCCTTCTGAAGCCTTTGGCAGCTGGGGCCGGGCATGGGCTGTAGTCCTGTGGAGATGCATTGACCCCCAGGGACACTGGGGTTTATTCCTGAGCCCCCATTGCCCCCCATAACCCCCTCTCACCCTTCTGCGTGGGGCTGGTGCAGAAGCAGCAAGGCAGCCCGAGCAATTGGGGCTGGAAGCAAGGGGCAGGGAGTTTTCTTCTCCCAAATTAGATCTCGGGGAGGGGGAGAATGGGGGAGTCCTGACGGAGTGTTTCTCTCCACTAGCTAAGCTGGGAGACATGCAGGAGCTGGAGGAGTTCATTGCGGATCTGGATAAAGCATTGGAGGGTACGTGACTGGACATCAGGACATCTGTTCCTCCCAGAAAGAGTGGTCAGACCCTGGAAGAGGCTGCCCAGGGAGGGGCTTGAGTCACCATCCCTGAGTGTGCTTAAGAGTCATCTAGATGTGGTGGTGGGGGATATGGTGTAGGGGAGAACTTTGTAGAGTGGGGTTGATGGTTGGACTTGATGATCCCAAGGGTCTTTTCCAACCTGAATAATTCGTTGGAGGGTACGTAGACTGGACATCAGGAAACAGTTCCTCACAGAAAGAGTGGTCAGACCCTGGAAGAGGCTGCCCAGGGAGGGGCTTGAGTCACCATCCCTGAGTGTGCTTAAGAGTCATTTAGATGTGGCGTTGGGGGATATGGTGTAGGGGAGAACTTTGTGGAGTGGGGTTGATGGTTGGACTTGATGATCCCAAAGGTCTTTTCCAACCTGAATAATTTGATGATTCCATACGTGGCTCTGCTCCCTGTGCTTCCCGAGCCCCCAGGATGATTCCATACATAGCTCTGCTCCCTGTGCTTCCCGAGCCCCCAGCTGCAGCCAGCACAGCTGAGGGCTTCTCCCTGCCCCTGCATCAGCAGAGGCTGGAATCCTTCTCTCTTTTCTTGTGTGAGGGGGCTTGTCTGGCTGTCTCACACACACCCCCACATCCCCCTTCAAGCTCTTCCAGCTGGGACAGAAATCCCACTGTTGGGTGTCCTCCCTCTCTGCTGCCTCAGTTTCCCCAGCTGGTGAGGTGCAGGTGGCAGTCAGTGCTGTCCTGGTGGAGGGACCGGGGACGTGGAGGCCAGATGGCTCCTGGCCATGGTGGCCTCTGCAGAAACAGGGAGCCAAAGGGCACAACCTGCAGAGCTATGGACATTTTTGGGGAGCTGCTTGTGGCTCTGCCCACAGCTGTCCTCCTCCTCCTGCTGCTCAAAGGCTTTTCATTGCTGGGCCGGGGAAGGTGAGCAGGAGGAAAAGACTATTTTCCCTTGTGGGTATATCCCCCTGGAAAAAATCGGTGCTGTGGAAATATCCCGTCTGGAGGGAGGGCAGAGGGGTTCAGACTCACTAAGTGCCACCCAACCTGTGCCCGTGGAAGTGCTCCTGAGTGAAGTGGCACTGGGTGAAGCCATGGGCAGGTCTCAGAGTGGGAACTGCTTCAGAGCATCCGGGGGTCGGGGGGGATCCGAGAGAGGGGAATTGGGGACCAGGGATGGGTCGTGCAGATGTTCTCCTCCCGGTGAAGGGCTTGGCCTCAGGAACCCAGGGAAAGGTGCCCTGCTGGGGGTCTCTGGCAGCTCTGCAGTCCCTGGAGCCTGCCTGGTCCCCAGTAGCTTCCTCACTGGGGAAACTGAGGCCACACTTCCTCTCCAACAGGCTCCCTGGGCGACAGGCTGGAGGCAGAGAGAACTTGATTTTTTTTTTAAAGAAAAAAAATTCCCCCCGGGCAGCGGAATGAGTCAGGGTTCTCAGTATCTGTTCCCTTCCCTTGGGTGTCAAAATGAGGTGGCGTCTGCTGGCCCTGAGCCACCCGGGGTGGTCGTGGAGGAGGATGGGGACCAGAGCCTCCCCCCACAGCAGACTTCTGCTCCAGCCCTGCTGCTGGTGGTGCCTGGGGGGGCAATGTACCGTGCAGTCTCCCCCCAACAGTCCTCTCACCAATCCCTTCCTCCCCTCTTTTTGTCCCGCAGAGATGTGAGAAGTGGTTCTGGAGAGGAGGACCTGCAGCAGACGAGCCCCGTGCCTCCCCCGCGCTCCCTCTGCTTCTGTGCCCCTGCTACCCGCTGCCAGCGGGGGGGACATCTCTCCCGTGCCCCCCTGCTCCGTGCCCGTGACCAGTGGGGACCCATCCAGCCGTGGGATGGGAACTGTGATGTGGCCGGACCTTGCTCCCTCCCGCGTGCTGGTGCCAGCACGGAGACAGGACCAGGTCTCACTGGTGGCACCAGGCTTTGTCCTGCAGGGTGGGGGCTGGCAGTA